TGCATCTTTCCGCATTGTCTGCATGCCGTTCGTTTCAGACTACATGCACTAACTACCCGAAGGAAGGGGTTAAGTATATCCAACATTCACAGCTGCTGCTGGCTTCTTGTGCTACCAAGGAGATTGATAACAGTTGCGATGACCTCTACCAGGTGGTCTCCCTGAGATTTCGGCCATTACATCAACATGGCAATTGATATGTTTGTGCCACATACTGGTCGTGTTCGGGTCTCCCTGGTCTATCGGCGCAGTAAATAGAAACCTCCAGTCTCCATCGACATAATAATGTAGCAGAGTATCGCTCTACCCTGTTCTGTCGTTATTTGTAAAATTCACGATACTACTCGGAATATTCTCTATATCTCCAGACTTGCTAGGTGGCCTCATCTCTCTCCACTCCTGCGTCTGCTCTGATACTAGGCGCCAGGCACAAGCCTGTTATTCATCGCGGCCTACCATTTTAGCTCTCTCTTTGTTTTCCTCACATGCACCTACTATTGTTTCCTCCTCATTCGACTCTGACCTCCCTCGTCGTCCGTGTTCGATTTATATTTCCTCTTTACTGCTCTAATCATCGCTCACTCCCACTCAAATTCAGCCCTCTCTCGTCACTCTCCTTCTTCTATTATTCTTATATCTCTTCCCACCTAATCCTCGCCTTATCATGCAACAAATGCACCAACCTGAAGATCTCCCCCCTTTCTCATCCTCATCGGCAATTCCGCATCAGCTCTCAGCCACTAAGACCTGAATTCTAAACCGCTGGTCGCCAGCACCTTGATGACGCTCTGCGTGTACGCTACTAGCACTTCACGACACTCGGACGGGAATACGGCTCCGCAATATAATAATATGACACCATTTACATCACATCCGCGTGGCACTTTGGCACTTAAAAGAACATTGATCACAGACGGGTCTATCACTGAGGTGTTCCTTGTTGAGATACTAGTACATTTTACGCGTAGACAAAAATACCCTCGCACACAAAGCTTACACCCGTCAAAAGGCACATGGAGGAGAGGAGGGAAGAGGCGCCGAGGAGGAGGCAGGAAGAGGAAGGGTGGTGGAGGGC